ATAAAAAATAATGTTGGTTTAAAAAAAAAAGAAATATACTTACCTCAACCCAGCTTCTGACACTTCTGGAAGGTGGACATGATGTCACCATGCCTCACCGCTGCGCCCTAGGATAGTTGGGCGCTTGAAATCTCACAAGAATGCACTCCATACCATCTTGGGGGCATATTCTTGAGCACCCAGCCATTCCAGGAGGCAGGAGTGGTTGGGACAGAGGTAATTATATTGTTTTCCCTTTTGTAACAACAACATATCTTTTAATTGCCTTTACAGCTGAAATTAATTTGGGGGGTTGGGGTTTTCAACAGTGTGGACCTTCCATTTTCATGGAAAGTCTGTTTTAAATAATGACAACATGTGAATATGCCCTGGCAAGTGCATCAGCACAAAAGCTTATAGTTATGTTTGGAAGAGTATGTAGCAAGGTGGTTTACAGGCAGTAGATTGTGGGAGGCAGGGGAAGAGCGCTGTCACTCCATAAAACAAAGTACCCAAACATGGTCCTTTATATCAGTATCACCAGCTGCTATAGTGTAGTTCTTTTTTTTGCAGCTCCAGGTGGTAACTGATGTCCCACTGGCATATGGGGCTGCATTGTCCAGCCACTGTACATTATTTGTGGCTATTGTCTCTCAGATAATTATATTATATTATATATTGCAATATATTGTTTGATCCAGCACTACCCAATTACAGTACGTTTACACCATTGTGAGTACACATTTTTTATTTAATAAATTGCATTTTATTTGACGTTGCGCACTATGTCCTTGTCCCTTTTCTCTTTCTTCCTGGATTTATGCTAATACCTGTAATCTGAGGAGACCTTATCACCTTTTGCATGGGCTTCCCTCCCCCATTAAGAAGGGAAAAAGCGCATTTGACCTAGCTCTGTGGGTCTACCTCCCCAGGTGAGCACTCACTTGTTGTCATCACTCACTGGGTGGAGGTGACGGTCTGCCTGCATTGTGTGATTATCCTTACCTGAGAGTTACATGCAGATTGGCTGCGAATCATCTGAGGAATTTTCTCGCACAATCACCATTGTTTGCTTTTGTTTTTTCCTGGGACTCTTTTTGTCTTTATTGGTTTTTTTTGTGTGTAGATATTTTTTTATGCCTCATTTGTTTCAAGGCTCATATATACGATTGATTTCTATATGTTTCAATGTACTAGATGTGTATGATTATTAGCTTGGCACAATATTGTTTTTCACAAATCCAGTCTTGCCTGTTTCAATTTGCTGTCTGGCCAAGTGCTCGCTGTGTGTCCTGATGTTGGCTAGTTTCTACCAAACACATAATTAAAGCCTATTTTTTTACATTCCTGGAATAATTGGGGATACAGTGATGGTAAGGAGTTTGGGGGCTGTAAGGTTGTGGTTTTGAAGTGTTTTTGTTCACATTGCTTTGACATTTTATTAAATGTTTAGGACAATGTGGTGAGGTTCTGAGAAAAAAGAAGCTCACAAACCATACTATTTAACTTCTGTGCCACTGGCCAATTTTTTGAATGTTGAGGGCCTTAGCATTAGATTTTTTAAGAGTACATTTTCCTATAACTTCCAAAAGTCAATTCAGGCCTATTACCTGGTTAAAAAAAAACAGGTGTAGCAGCCCAAACTAAAAATGCAATTTCCAAGGCAGTTTTAGGTAGGCATGAATCAGATTAGGATGTTGCTGCTGTTTTTAAACCAAGCTAAATGTAAAAGTTAAAAAAAATCTAAACTGCTAAATACAAAAATGAAATACAAATGTGTGAACTGTATTACTTACCGAAGCAGTTTTAGATCTGGTCCTTTGTGACTCACATCCAAAGGTCACCATTTTTCTTTATAATATTGTTTGAAAATAGGCAACATAATAATTTAATAGACTAAAATCAATACAAACATCTCCAGTAGTTAAACAGTACACCTTTTTATAATGGTCAATAAATCTAACCTAAAAGAGACACAGCTGTAAAAAAGAGGAACAGGGGGACCATAAAATGTTCATAATTCTCCTTGTAGATAAAGACCTTGTGATCTTAGCCTAGGCAAGACCACTTGGGAGCAGAGGTATTTTATTAATGCCAGGGAGTACATTTTCACTTATAATAATAATAAGATGATGTGACCTGGTTGCTATAGGTTAAAACCTCAAATTCGTGTCCAAATAAACATTACTTATTACATAGTTACATAGTATTTGAGGTTGAATAAAGACATTAGTCCATCAAGTCCAACCTATTAGGATCTCATTCTTAGGAGTACCTGTACCCCTGTATATTCCGGTCCCTTAAGAAATCGTCCAAAAGTTTCTTGAACAATTCCATCCCATAACATTTTTAAATCTATGGATTAAATTCCCTTTATCTTTATTTAACACTGTAGGAACCCTTAAAATATAATGCATACAAAGGATTGTTTCATTACTCCTACTGTTCTTTGGAAAGGAAACATATCAAGCATATAACTTACCATCTGTCCTGTCTGTAAACTTTGGACTCTTGCCTAGCGTTCCAGTGTTAACAGTCTCAGATGAAATGCTTAGCTTTGTGTTTGGATCTCGTTTTGGCTTCGGAGGAGGTTGTTTTCTAGAACAACTGCTGTTGTCATCATCAGTGCCACCGACAGAATGGAGGGACTGTGAGCGGACAGAAAATCCACTAGAACATGGATGTGGTAGCCTGTCTTGCGGTGCAGGCATTGTCATAAATCCCATGCGGAAGTGTTTATTGATGTAACTCCCTTCACTTCCTCTTACCACCTCGCCACCAATGCTGTAGAAAAGAAAAAAATATATTATGACTACATATTCTAGTGTTTTTCCATTTTTTTTAAATAATTATACAGAATATTTTATTATTTTATTTGGGCAACATTAAGGCAAGATAGAATATGTTAGCAATTTGACCACCTGTTTGTCTGCCTAGATACATTTTAAATGTAATTTTGGCAAAACATGACCCTTGAGGGTGTAGGTGATGCTGCAATACCATCTTACCAAAGCTGAAGTTTAATCTGTTTATATTTCACTTTCCCTAGTTCCTCCCTATCCCCTCATATCATGCTAATTACACTTTTTCAGTTTTTAAGACATACCACTGGGTCTTTATGCTCCTCTATGCACTGCAGATAGATTATGATTGTTGGGAGGGGCAGGGTGCTGTACATAGCTTCCTGAAACCATTGCATCACCCTGATTCAGTACTGCTCTCAAGAGCCCTTAGCCCTGATGCAACCTGTGGGCTGGCTCTTTGGAGGAGTTATATAAATTTCAAAATGCTTTGCTGGCCTTGATGAACCATATCAATCTGAAGCATCAGGCATTCCTAGGCAGGTGACACTCACATGTGACGCTGAGCCTTCATGATTAAAAGAACTAAATTGCAATTAATGAAAGGAGCGGGATAGGAATGATGATGCAAGGTGTCCTGCATCCAGTAGATGAGGTGAGCTCTATCTGAATTGCAGCAGTTTCTAATGCACACTATGAGAAACTCACAGTGTCCAGTGAAATCAGACTAAACAATTTTAGTGAGTGTCATTAGCAGCTACAGCACACTGAGGGCTGTTCAAACTCAGTGTCACAATGTCATCAACATAATAATTCCAACTCCAATACGGTCAGAAAAAAATACATTTGGATATTTCCATTGTTCTCCACTATCTACAGCACTCATAATTCTTCTCAACGACTGTGAAACACGAGGTGGATTTATACCATATCATATAGACAGAAGCAACAGCAGAATCAGTTTGAGGGTCTATTGGTAAAAGGTCAGTGTTCGGCAACAAAACTGGTAAAACATTAAGGCCTAGTTAGCAATTTGGCTTGTGTGTGATGCAACAACCCTGGCATTGAACAATCAGAATGAATTTGTGCTAAAATGGTAGTGGTGGTAACATGTCACCCATGTATGACCACAAGTGATTTATTGGAAAAGAGATTGTTTGATGCAAATAAAATTACACCAGGCATGGAGAACAAGAAACATTGAGGGCAAGACTTCACTGGGGTAAATCTCCAAAACACACATAAAAAAAATATACTCATCTCTGCTTCCAATAAATAGGTCACACACCCTAAATTGCTGATAGAACTTCCTTGTTTTTTATATACTTGTAGTAGACAAATTTACACTGTTTGTTACTATGGCTTTGCTTGGCCACCTCACTTTTCTGTTTAGAGTAATTTACCTAAGCAGAGCTAAGCGAACCAAATCATGCAGAATGAGATCCAGTCTTGATTAGAGTGACCTATAGATATTGCATATCTGTTTTAAAGAGTATATATTTTATTATATTTTTCTTTTTTATATTAAAATAAAAAGATACCAACTCAGAACTTGGGAACGGGAACACAGACATATCCCAGAATTCCAAAATTTAGTAAGTTTTATATAGGATATAGTGTATGCAATGAAATTCCAGTGAAACCCCCTCACCTAATAAACTAGATGAGGAGGTAGCAGTATACCTGTCCCTGATGCTGCAGGGCATGCCCCGGGGTTGGAGATGCTTAAATGTCCCTATGGAAGTGGGAAGTTACTGTGCAGCCAGCCCACAAGACTTTTGGAACACAATGTAACAAACAGCAAACTTATCTTTTTAGTTACCCCTTCACAGGTATAATTTAACTGTTGATATATTTTTGATCTCCTTTAATTTGCATGTTTGATATAAACGTTTAATCTGAACAATCAGTGATTGCTGCTTTGAAAGAATTCAACTGGAACCTTCTGATTGGATCAAATCCAACTTCCATTACAAAAATATATTTTTTTAGATTGCTCTGTAATGTGTAATACAGTTTTTGCAATTGATTTGCCATCATAACCTGCATGTGGGTAACGTTTTTGTTTTATGAATTAACAATGAATATTATTATAATGATTTTATTATTCATTTTATAAAAACAAGCTATAGAGCTGCATTATCAAAAAATGAACAAGAAATTGAATATGTGTCCAACATAACATGATGAAGAAAAAAAAGCTGATATAGGATAAATGTACATAGGAGCCATATCCTATTATAAGCAACATGAGCCAGACTCTCAGCTGAGGGTCAATGACTGAAAACAGTCATTTTTGTACATAAAATATTTACTAGCATTGCTTTTAAAATTATTACAGAATAACATAGTTTGTTTTAAAATTTGTTGTGTAAAGTGTATCTAAATGCATTTTTTTAAATTTTTATACAGTAATGAGAGGTTATTTCAATGACAGGTTTTTCAATGACCAGCAATGAGAGGTTTTTATTGCGGTCTCTGTTATACTCTCTCTGTTTGTCTTGGTGACTACTGTCACTGGGACTTAAAGCCAACATTTTGAGTTGCCACCAAGATATAGATATGCTAGTTTAATGTGCATTGCTGGAGATTATTCTGTCTATTTTGTATCCATTGGAGCACTGTTTGTTTTGCACAGGGTCCAAATGCTATCTGGGATTCTGTTAGAGATTTACCTTCAATTACTGTCCAGCTGACATTTTATCAGATAGGAAGTGAGGGGAACTCTCCAACAGCAACATAGGCCGAAACCAACATTATTGTTCTGTAGTCCACATGAAAACAAGGAAAAGTGTTAACTGATAACAGTCAGCACAGGCAGAAAGCACAGGACGTTAACAGCTTACAAGTTTTCTGGCAGGATCAACAGGTATTTTTTCCACTTATCAACCAGATCTTACAAAATGCTTTAACTGGTATATTTAACAGACTAAAAGGGAGCACCTAAGAGAAATTCACTGCTAGTGTTTCAATCTAAAATATGGAATGCATAGACAAGCAATGAATCCATCACTGGTTTACAATATGCTTTATAAATATTGCTGGGTGGCTAATTTTCTTCTCTTGCTATACTTTTTCAATACCTTTTGTTAATGATATTGAATTGTCTTCTGCCAAGTTGTCAATGATTTATCATGTTGCTGGTAAACCTAGAAAATCATATTCATCGGTACATGTGTCCTTGGTGCTCCTGACTGCAACTAATCCCCCCACCCTTAATCTGCTTTATTTACATGTCATTCAATCTGACAAACAGATTTATCAGCACTTTTAGAAATAAAAAAGACTGCATGCAGTTAGCGTAAAATAATTGTAGGTGTTGATCCCAGTTTATTACATTTGACAGGAAGGAAACTTGGATGTCTAATAGGCTGCATCTGTTAAGTGCCATAAAATCAATTTAGAAGATTGTTAAAGAGAAAAGTTAATTATTGCATATGGTAATGCTATATGAATATGAATTCTGGGCTTTGGACTGTCAGAAAGCATTTAATGCTGCATTTTCAGAGCTACATAATTTTCGTATCTTATCTTTGACTCCACTCAGGCTTCATAATATACAAAATCGAAATCATGCATGTTCATTAAACCATCACACATATGTTGAAAACAGAAGGGCAACATATCTAATGACAAAATCAGATGTCAACCTAAGTTTGATACTGAAAAAAGGTCAAGATTTCCAAAACTGGAGAAAAAAGAAATGGTTCTAATATCCCCATGTTTAATTGTATATCCTGAACTTGAAAAGTGACAACTGAAATATAACTGATAGCTAGCTATTTATGGGTCAGCCTATTTTATTGGACCATCAGCTCCAGTTAAACAAAACATTGCACCCTAAAGGCCAAAACCAGCCAAAGTTTGATTTGGTTCATCCAAAGAGGCATCATTAGAAGCTTCCCTTTGGACATCCCTTTGGACAGAATGCATTGGAAGGAACCCACAAATTATGTAGATGTTGTGCTACTCAAGAGAGGACAGCATTTTTATGTATTGTGATTTACATTTTATATATTTTAAATAAAAATCCTCACTTCCAGTGACCCTGACCAGCAGAGATATTTTTCCCTGAAGGAACATATATGATCGTAGTTGTTCAGCTTGAGCCTGAGGGAGTATATCACACAAAGCATATATTTACCTCTCTTTAATCCTGAGTTCAAGATATCCAGCCAGTTACGCTTTTTAAACCAGGGTGGAGACTGTCCAGCAGTCCCTTTTTTGTACATGGATAATTGCTTGTACCAGGTAACAAAGATTGTCTTAGAAAACTCTTTTCTTTGGGTTTTAGACAAAATGGCTTCCACTCCTTATACTCTAATTTAATGTGTATCTAAACCTAAAACCAAAAATTTACAACTGTTGCAGATTTTCTATTCCTTAGATGTGGTGGCTGCACTAGTTTTCTTTTTCAGGCTTTTTTTTAATTTTCCTCTTCTTGTCCTAGTTTGACAACACTTACTTAACGTAATTAATCTATGGAGGAGCAGCATTGTTACCCTAGGCCTGCAAACAGTATGTGTTCTGGCTCAGTGACTTAAACCCTGGCCATGCCATTAAACCCTGTCTCATTTACACTGATGCTCATTTTCAATCCTACCATCTTAATTATAAAGATGGATTCGGGTACTAAATTTTAGCTAATATTTACTTCACTGTGGACATTACCCACCGTAAACCAACTATAGTTACTAGGGAACAGAAATACTGAGTCAAGTGTATAAAAAAGTGTTAGTCCACCTGAACGTGAGACTGTAGGTGGAGATTGGTGGGCTGAGTCAGTCCTTGTCTTATTAAATGTCTTAGATACTAAAACAGTGCGATTTGATCATTTCCAATTGAGTTGCAATCCAACAAATAGGTTGGAACCCCAAAACAATGACCAGTGCAGGTGGGCAGACCTTGGAGTTCAAAAGCAGAAATTTCAGCAATAGGGGCCCAGAGGTCATTTCAGCTTTGCATGGATTGATCCTTTAAACT